ATTTCAAAGTTAATTTCATTTCAAATATATTGTTGATACTTATGTTGTTTATGTTGTGTAGATATCTATTCTCCATCCTACTTGGAATCATGTGGAGGAAACTGTGAAGAACTTGTTATGGCAAGATCTTCTTGTAAGTATGTGTATTTAGTTGTTTATATTGTTTATACATTATTATCAATTGATTAACTAAAACTTGTTTGCTACTGTAGGAACACTTTGATTTAGTTAATTCTGAGGATGTGAGGAGGAAGATAATGACAGCCATAGCAAAAATGTGGAGACAGTTCAAGTCCACATTGACCACTAAATGGGTGTATGCTGAGGACAAAGTTAGCAAGGGATTAACCCCTTGCCAAAGATATGGCATAGATGAGGACACTTGGAAGAAGTTTGTACATAGTAGGATTGGTTCAGAGTGGGAGGTAATAGCTTATGGCTTAATTGACTTGAATATTTCATAATGAGTCGTGTATCTAATATTGTGTTCAATTATGTTGCAGGAAAGAAGACAAAAAGCAAAAGACATTCAGAGGAAGAATGTCGCCCCCCACCTTCTGTCTCGTGGGGGGTACGACTTATTGACTCAGAAGATGATGGAGGAGAAGAGTAGACTTCGACAGTCGGAGTTAGCCTCTTCTGGTTTAAGCGAAGAGCAGATTCCTCCACCATCTCCTCCAAAACGTCACCAGAAGTGGAAGAGGGCGCGTACAAAGCCTTCCGGTGACATGACGTCGCCTGAAGCCCGAGAAATTGCTGCTTCGGATTGTAAGTAAAAGAAGTTAATTTACTTTGAATTAGTTATATGTAACATGTTCATTAATAAAATTAACTTTTATAATGTAGGATGCCTTGGAGGAGCAAGTGTACACAGGGAACTTTCATCCCTTCGGTCGTCAGGATATCTTGACCACTCGCTATTGGACGACCGTAACATCCAGGTCGTGTTCGAGCTGTTGGCCAAGGTGTGGGTGTCCGACATTATTTTGGACCACCATCACAGGATATCCGCACCTCCACATCCCTCGAGCCAAGAAGATATTGCTGCCTTGGAGATGGCTCTCACGGAGAAATTGACACCAGCCCATCGGGGCAAAATTGGAGGAAGAGTTGACTCCTGCCATCGCCGCACGACTTGAGGAGACGATCACTGCACGTGTGCAGGAGCAGCTTGCTGCGTATGTCCTCCATGGGTACTTCATTTCCGATGCTCATCCGCCATCAGGTGCATTTTCAACCACAAATTGGATTGGTACTTGACTTGTGTTTCTAAAATCTTAGTCCTTATTGGAATTTACTGTATTTGTAGGTCCAAGAGTTAGCACAAAGGGAAGTTGTGCTGAAGCTACTATCGAGGTCACACTCGAGGTGGCATCTATTCATCCCGAATCCACAAAGGATGATCGATATGGCTTGTGGGTTGAGGTAGATGAAGGTCTAAGGCTAGTGGCCCATGGATCAGTTCATGAAGGGGCTTCAACTATCCACAATGTGCCTTTGGATCCTAACTTGGTCAAAGTAGTGGTTGAAAAGGTGGTTGACGCTGCGGCTAGTGTCCCTATCCCCACTGAAGAGGTGCAGACAGTGGGCCAAGCCCTTCAGACCTTCATTAGTTGGCCCCGACATTTAGTTAGGTCAATCATGGCAAAGGTATGTATATGTATGGTTATAATACATCTAACACATAAATAAATTGATTTATTATTTATGATTATATTTTATAAAATATGTAGGATGTTCGGCGACCAAAAGACTTGGGTAAAGCTATTGCCACTCCTTCGCATCTAAGGAGAAGACACCAGTTGTGGAGACTTCTCCAAATCCCATTTTTGATCTCTTGTCTCTTTCCCCACAATTATATATGCAGTCATTCCAAGTTCCATGGGATTGTACATTATTTGGGATGGCTTCTAGCAATATCCCCCTCTACATTTCCCACACTGATGCCCTGGAGATTGGGATGGGCAATCAATGTCTAAATATAGCTGTTTTACAATTTTGGACATTGTAAGTTCATATCTTTCATGACTCTTTTCATTTTAGTAAATATATAAGCTATAAGTTCACTTAAATTGGCATATTTTAGGATGATGCACGAAATGATAGTGGAGCAGGGCATTGGTCACGTGTATGGATTCTTCGAGCCTCAATCCATACAAAAGTCTAGGAATAAGCGTGATCAAATTGTCAGTTACATCCAGAATTGGATGATTGTCTCTAAAAGAGATATTTACCTTGGAGCATACCATCATTCGTAAGTTATCCCAGCCTCTTCTGGTTTTACACAAGTTTTTTTAATAGATTCTAATCATGTGTATATACAGAAACCACTGGCAGCTATTAGTTATTTGTCCAAAGCAGAATCTTGTGTGTTGGTTCTGCTCATTGGGAAGAAAACCGGACATGGAGCTAAAAAATATTGTAAACGAGTAAGTATTTATTATATTATGTCTAAACATCTTGATTATTCTATTTCTAATCCCCTTATTTTCAATATATAGTGCTTTAAAGGTTTGTAGTACATTAGATGGAAAACACACAAGTAAAAGCACAGCTCCAAATTGGAATTTTATGAAAGTAAGTAGCCTTTATATATATTATACTATCTATTAATTTACGTTCAAATTTAATAGTTATTTTTAATATATTTACTCATTTTTAGTGTAACAAACAAAATGGAGGCTACGAGTGCGGCTACTATGTAATGTATTGGATGTGGCTCATCATTTTTGGTTGCATTCAGGATAGTTGGGACGAGGTAAGTTGACATTTGCTATTATATTCAATTCCTTTATTTTTATTGCTTAGGGTTTACCATTCTATTATTGTGAACTTCTTACAGGCATTTAAAGATATAGAACCTTTGCCTATGGATACAATAGACATGGTTAGAAACAAATGGGCAGAAAGGTTTGTGCAAGTAGTTAGGAATAATAGGATTGATTGATAATTTTTGTGTATTATGTACATAATGTGGCTGGACTGAGATTGTAAGTGTATTGTGTAAATATATAGTGATTATGTGAATCTGGCTGAGATTGTGTATTGTGTATATATTATGTATTGTGTAAATCTGGCTGGACTGAGATTTATATAGCAGGTCGTGTATGGTAGCACAAAAACAGACCAAAATTTAAAAAAAAAAATGGATATTCTACGTCGGTTATTGCATTAACCGACGTTGAAACGTCTTTCGCTTGAGCGAAACGTCGGTCGCTTGAGTGAAACGTCGGTCGCTTGAGTGAAACAGCACCCAAGCGCCCCCTTTGTTTGAAGGCTTCGTCGCTCAAGCGAGTACACCGGTCGCTTGAGCGATAAAGGACTTTCAACGTCGGTTATCCAATAAGCGACGTAGAATTTACTCATTTCTACGTCGCATTTGCATTAACCGACGTTGTGACGTCGGTCGCTTGAGCGAAAACTCGGTCGCTTGAGCGAAACAGCAACCGAGGGTCCCTTTGGTTTGAAGGCTTCGTCGCTCAAGCGAGTACACGGGTCGCTTGAGCGACTTCAACGTCGGTTAGTTCAATAACCGACGTAGATGTCTACCACTTTCAACGTCGGGTATGATGAACCGACGTAGAATCCTTTGACATTCAACGACGCCTGATTCAACGACGTCATTGGAACCGACGTTGAAAGCCTTCTACACCCGACGTTGAATGCTCGTTCTGCAGTAGTGTAATTAATTATAATCTCAATTAGTTTTTATATATATATCACATTCTTAATGACAGGTGTGGCCCACTAAACAAACAACTCCTACAAGTTCTAATATTCAAACCATTCAAAAGCCTTTCCATGTTTGATCATTAATTAATTAATTGTTAATTAATTAATCTGTTTTGGTTACTAAGTCATATCCATTAATTGGTAAAAAAAAAAGCACAAGATTCCGTTCTGGAATAATGCGCTTACGTTTGGCCGAGAAAAGCTAGCCTTACTACTACTATTATTCGTTGACTGATGTACTACATCATCATCATCATCTCAAACATGGAATTTTGCAGAAAAGCAATCGTTTCATCAATAGAATACTCCATTAACATCAGAGCATAACATTGTAGCCGCATATTGTCTCCTATGTGCTCAGGTTCTTATCTGCATCGCATATATGCTCTGTTCTTTAAGCCCATTCGTCACTTCAATTGCATCAAACATTATCAGATACCCCTGCAAATTAATTTTTAGGTCGCTCAGAAGAAGAGATAATTCTTCCTTCTTTTTTCAATGTTGGTATCACTTCATACATCATAATGGTCTTTTAGTTATTCTTTCCATGTTACTGTTAGTACTAAATACTGATAGATTTTATAGATAATTAATATTTACTAAAGGTATTTGTGATGAAATTATTAGGAAATCTCAAACATGATCTCTCAAACAATATTCTAAAATATAAGTAAATTTTACCGTTTTAAAAAATTAATAATGTTTGATTTATATATCATGAATACTATAACAGTGACCAAACCTACTAATTTCTCCTGTGTGTAGTGTGTGTTTACTTATCATTTGATGGATAAGGCATGATTACTTACTGGCGCCACATTCCATACATAACTGGCGTCATTAAGGGCTGGCGTAAGCAAAAACTTTGATACACACGCTCTTTTCTCAACATATGAATGACGATGATATGCTTTGTTTTTGTTAGAGATTATATTGAAACACGTTCTGATAAGAAGGGTTAGCACGTGTGGTCGTCTAATTCTACATCAATTCGACTGGAAAAGGATCTTTCGTCAAAAGAAATATGTTCAACAAATGACACGACAAAATTCATATGACACACGTTGTTCAGTGCGATCGAGTATCTAAGCAAAAAGTCGCTCAAATTGTGCTATCTACTATTTGACGCACTATGAAACAACTGTTGAGGTTGCTCCTCACCACTATAAATTAGTTACAATTGCCATTGCCTTTGCTCCAAACTAAAACAATCCTCTTTGTCTATGTTACAAAGAACAAACCTACTCTAACCCTATTCTTCTGATTACATGATGAGTTCATTTAGCCAAAACAACTATATTTTAGTTCTGCTCCTTGTTTTCACTTTGTGGACTTGCCATGTAATGTCTCGCAGGTTGCCTGAGGCCTTCTCGTCAGAGAGACATGAGACGTGGATGGCACAGTATGGTAAGGTCTATAAGGATGATGCTGAGAAGGAGAAACGTTTCCAAATATTCCAAAACAATGTGCAGTTCATTGAGTCTTTCAATGCTGCTGGGGGGAAATCTTTCAACCTTAGCATTAACCAATTTGCTGACCTTCATAATGAAGAATTTAAGGCTTTATTAATTAATGGTCAGAAGAAGGAACGTGGCGTGTGGACGGCAACAGAAACATCGTTTAGGTTTGACAATGTCACTAAGGTTCCTACAACCATGAACTGGAGAAAAAGAGGTGCTGTTACTCCAGTCAAGGACCAAGGCACATGTCGTAAGATTCTGTTTTCCACGTTCATCAGTTCAATTATATTCCATTGGTGCTCCACTAAAAATTGTCTAATATATGAATCAACTTGATTTTGGTTGTTGAAAACAGGAAGTTGTTGGGCATTTTCAACTGTGGCAACAATTGAGGGTCTCCAGCATATAACTAAAGGTGAATTGGTGTCCCTATCAGAACAAGAACTGGTTGATTGTGTTAAAGGTGACAGCTACGGATGCAATGGTGGTTATGCGGAAGATGCCTTTGAATTTATTGCTAAGAAAGGAGGAATAGCAAGTGAAACATACTACCCCTACAAAGGAGTTAACAGGACTTGTAAGGTTAAGAAGGAAAGTCATGGTGTAGCTCAGATTAAAGGGTATGAGAAAGTTCCTGTTAATAGTGAAAAGGCACTCCTGAAGGCTGTGGCACATCAACCAGTGTCAACTTATGTTGAAGCTGGAGGATCTGCTTTCCAGTTTTACTCAAGTGGGATTTTTACAGGAAAGTGTGGAACTGACACTGACCATTCTGTTACAGTGGTTGGTTATGGAGAAGCTGGTGATGGAACCAAGTATTGGCTAGTGAAGAATTCATGGGGAACTGAATGGGGTGAGAAAGGGTATATAAGGATGAAGAGAGATATACATGCCAAGGAAGGTTTATGTGGAATTGCCACCAATGCCTTATATCCAACTGTTTGAGTGCTGCTATGAATCATATATTGATCTTAAAGAGTATAATAATAGAGTATATGTGCACGTTGAGTCTCTAGTCATCGTTTTCTTTTCTAGCTAGTATAAGCACATTAGTGTGTTCCTTCCTAATAAGCTGTTTTACCTTAATCTTATGATCTTTATGTAAACGCTTAATTTCTATCTACCACATAATGAAATATAAGTTTTATAACCATATTTTGAGTTCTTTTTATACTCTCTACGTTCTTTACTGTTGTTCAGTATATTTACCTAGTTATTGTTTATTATTATTGCTCGTTTAATTGATAGATTTAAGTTTTATTTATCAAGATTTCAATTTTGAGTACTGTGAAAAAATTAGTTTCAACGTAATAAAACAAGAAATATATATATCCCTAAGAGAATAATATTTCTGGTTGAAATAAAAAATAGAAGTTATTATTCTCCATATGTATTAACTTTATCAGTCTCTGTATAACTTAATTTACAAAAGAAAAGTGTCGTGTGCTTCTTAAAATCTACTCAACACTTTGATTTTTATAATGCATTCATTAAACATATTGAAAAGTTGAGGGAATAAGAAAAGAAAAAATAGAATATATATATATAACGTGTAAAATGGAGTTTGAAAATTAGGGTCCATCTTAGTCTTCTTTAATTAACAGACTCCAACGTGGGATATAATATTAAACCACGTAACAACTGAGATTATTCTATTAAACTTATAGAACCTGTCATGGTGCAAATTGGAATTTGAGGCATGACCATAATCATTATTCTTCACCATCCACGAACAAATTGCCACATTAGCATTAATTTATCCAATTCCATTAGTTAATGACACGAGCATTTTCTCATTCTTGTTGATTAATAGTATTTCGATTCAAAAGCTTTTTACATCATTTATAAATCTTAAAATATTATATTATAATTTTATATATATATATATATATATAATTAAGTTATTTAATATTTGTTTACTTTTAAAGTGATTTGAACTTACACTAAGATTAAAAAAACTGAAAATTACAGTGTCAAACTCACTTAAGTTAAGAACTAATTAAATAGTAAATCATTAAACATTTAAACATAATTAATTTTTAATATAAAGAGTTTTTACAGAAGTATCCGCAATTATAATCGCATAAATTTAAATTATAATAGTCCACCAACACTATATTCTATACAACTTTTTCTTTTTCTTTTCTTTTCTTTTTTTTTAAATCAAACTTCAATCTTCTCTTCGAAGTATGGATAGTCAAAAGGTGTGTTGTAGAAGATGTCGTAGGAGGTATATTTAACAGTACCAAACAATGAACACTATTAAAAAGAATAAAATTTTATACAAGCTTATACATAGAAGATATACGAAGAATAATTATAATTTTATTTTTTTATATTTGATGCAATCTTATAATAATTTTAAGTTACAACTGTTTCAATCTGCAATTAGGGTAACTGCAACAACCATAATCTTATAATAATTATTATAGTAACTACTGGTGATAGAGAAGTGGAACAATTTCCTTAATTAGCTTGCACAGTGTTGTTGACTTTAAATAGTAAATTACGAAATTAATGGTGCAATGTATAATATTTAAATAGAAAAAAGCTTTTTTTTTTTAAGTAATTACACTGTTGATAGCATTGAGATGTAACAAAATAGTTGAAGATTCATTAAAAAGGAAAAAAAAAAAAAGTGTTTCCAATTCTATTCTATTGTAGGGAGCTTCACCCCAATCCAACGCTCCATAATCGTTGACTTCGTCAACTCGTTGAGGCTCCGCAGGGGCCTACTTCGTCAACCACAGTGTTTGAATTATAGTTTTTTTTTTTCAAAATAAAAGAATCATGGTAAAAATTGAAAGATAATTTCGACATAATAAATAAGAAGTTAATTTTTAATTTTTATCAAATAAAAATCATTTTCAAAATTAACATTGTTTCTTTAATTTTTAAAATAAAATAAAAAATTAAAACTGATAAAATATATATTTTTATTTTTATTTTTATTGATAATATATATATATATATATATATATATATATATATATATGTACTAATTATTATGTTAGATCACTCTTTTTTATTCATAAAATTGTTGAAATTATGATCTAATCTTTATTTCAACTCTTTGTAACATTGAATATCATTATTTAAAACATAATTCTCTAAGATTAATTTCTAAAATTATTTTTAAAAACTAAAAAAATGCAACAAATAAAAAATTTACAAATTTTCGTTTCTAGTTTTAAAATCTAATTGTTTAAAACTATTTTTTTTAAATAGAAATAAGTTTTTAGTTTTAATAAATTAAAAACATTTAAAAAGATAAACGAACAAGTTATTTTTATTAAAAACATTTTTTATTAATAAGTATTATTTTTAAAACAGATTTTTTTAATATGAGTTCAATTTTACTATATATTCTACGTATATTTAGTTCAAACAATTTTAATTATACTGTTTTAATACTCTTAAAAATTGAAATTCCATGGTTCTCTTATACTGTACACTAATAAAGAACAAATGTACATGAGACAAAAATTTATTTCTGATTAAATATAATTTTTTTTATTTGTAATTAATGGGCATCCACAACACCAGTAAGAAAAGTTTTTGGAAGATAAGAGAGTTACGGTCACTTTAAAATTTATATATATATATATATATATATATATATATATATATATATATAATTTTGATCTTCTAAATTTAATTATTTTTTATATATTTATTAATAGTATATTATTTTAACCTAAAAATATTCGTCAAATCCACTGCATGACACGACATACAAACTCTTCCGACATAATCTTTGACATATGCATATTCGAACATAAAATCCTGAATAATATAAAAAATTAAGCATATGTACAACATGAACCACTCATGGGTGGTAAACAATGAATTCTATAAATTAATAAACCAAACAAAACAAGAATAAAAGATAAGATAAGATGTGATAAGATAAGGTAGAAATTATATCAAACTTATATTTCATTATTTGGGAGAAAGTAAACGATTACATAGCCAACATAAAAAAAAAAATAAAAAAAAAATAAAAAAAAAAAGCAACTTAATAGGAACAATACATAGATGCATGCATTATGCATATATATACTAGCTAGCTAGAAAAGATGATGATCAGAAATTCAAAATGCATGCATATACTAATAAAACTTTTCAGATCTATATATATGGATTCTTAGCAGTACTCAAGCAATTGGATAAGCAGCATTCATAGCAATCCCACATAAACCTTCCTTGGCACGTACATCTCTCTTCATCCTTACATACCCTTTCTCACCCCATTTAGTGCTCCATGAATTCTTCACTATCCAATACTTGGTACCACCACGAGCTTTTCCATAACCAACTACTGCAACAGCATGGTTTAGATCAGTTCCACATTTTCCTGTAAATATTCCACCTGAATAAAATTGGAAAGCAGATCCTCCATCGTCAATGTAAACTGACACTGGTTGATGTGCCACAGCTTTCAGCAGTGCTTTTTCACTGTTAGCAGTAACTTTCTCATACCCTTTAATCTGAGCCACACCATGAGCTTCCTTCTTAATCTTACAAATCTTATTGTTGTCTTCGTAGGGGTAGTATGCTTCACTTGCTAATCCTCCTTTCTTCGCAATAAATTCAAAGGCATCCTCCATATAACCACCATTGCATCCTTCGCTCTTTCCTTTAACACAATCCACCAGTTCTTGCTCTGATAGGGACACCAATTCACCTGTAGTTATTTGGTGGAGACCCTCGATTGTAGCCACTGTTGAAAATGCCCAGCAACTACCTGTTACAAACAAAACAAAGTTGACATCAGCACAGAATTTAACCATGCACATAAAAGAAGTTGTTTGGTCGAGCATGAAAGCAGAATGGAACAGTTATGAGTCATAATCATAACATGAAAAAGATGTTGTATTATATATAAATACATACCACAGCGTCCTTGGTTCTTGATTGGAGTAACAGCACCTCTTTTCCTCCAGTCCATGCTAGCAGGAACCTTAGTTACATTCTCGTACCTAAACGATGTTTCTATTACTGTCCCTACCCTATGTACTTTCTTCTGACCATTAAGAAATAATGCCTTAAATTCATCATTATGTAGGTCCGCAAATTGATTAATGCTAAGGTTGAAAGATTTGTCCTCAGCAGCATTGAATGATTCAATGAACTGCGCATTGTTCTTGAATATTTGGAAACGTTTTTCCTTCTCAGCAGCATCTTTGTAAACCTTACCATACTGTGCCATCCACTTCTCGTGTCTCTCTGAAGAGGTTGCCTCAGGCAACCTGCGAGACATTACTTCGCATGTCCACACAGTGAAAACAAGGAACAGAACTAAAACATAGTTGTTTTGGCTAAATGAACTCATCTCGTAATGAGAGGTATTAGGTTTGTTGAAGTATTCTATGTTACATAGAACAAGGAAACTGGTTTAGTTTGGAGCAAAGGCAATGGAGATTACAAGTAATTTATAGTGGTGACGGGCTCATCAATGTTTGCTTCTCATAGTGCACCAAACAGTTGCTAGCACTTTCACTTTGTATTCAGATTGTCGATCGCACTAACGTGTATCATGCTAAATTGCTGACTCAGTTATTCACAGTTGTGGAGTTTACTGCGAAGTGAGGGGTCATCAACCCAAAATTTTATAACTTTTATTCATATCTATTATTTTAGCCTCTAAACATAATAGATTATTAAATATATTTATATAAATATTTATAATTTTAATTTCTTAATTTTTTATATTTATTTATTATTTATTAATAGTATATTATTTGATAAAAAATTATTGATTAAAATCCACACGTTATTCAACTGTTACTTTCAAAGATATGTCCTTTTCAGTCCAGTTGATTTAGAATGAGACGGCCACACGTGTTGATTTATTAATAATATATTTAGGATTTTTTTTTATCCGTGTCAAATTTTTTATTCCCTTCTATGAGTCTCATATTACTTAATTATATTATATTTAT